CGCGTGGCGTTCTTGGGCCGCCCGGGATCCCCGTACTGGAACTGGCCATAGGGGTAGTAGGCCGGAGCCGTGTGGGCAGCGAAGGTGGCAGGGTGCACCCCGGGGTTGTCCTTCAGTTCATACTGTGAGCCCTGTGGCCACGCGGCCCAGCGAGGGAGGCGAGAGAGAGTGGGGGTGGAGAAAGAGAGAAGAGAAAGATGAGTTCCCAGAATTCAGGGGAAAGCCCGGGGCAGCTGCTCCTGTCCGCTCCAGAGCAAAAGGCCCCAAGTCACCACCCGAGGTGGAAGGGGGTGGAGGGAGGCAGGCTGAGCTGCCTCCAGGAGCTGCCCCGCCACCCAGCTTGGAGAGCTTTTCGGTCACTCAAGAAAAGTTCTAGAATTCTGGCCTCTGGTCCCGGGAAGGCCACAACGATTGCCCCGCACCCCTAGAATTTCCCCAGACCGCTCTCTGTCCCTCACCCCCACCACAACTCCTGAAGCCAGGTTTCCAAGTTTACCTCACGCTGGCTGCAGGGGAAAACCTTTTATCTAGGCCGATAAAACAGCTCCTCCAAACTTGAGGAACCCAGAGCCTAACCCATCCCCACCTTCCAACCCTGAGGGGGTCAAACAAAATAAACTGTTCGGATTTTCTCTGGGCACCAAACAGCCAGCAATTTAAAATGAAAGCACAGCTCCTTTTAGCTTCCAGGTTAATCTGCATATAATGGCTTGCCCACAATTAAAGGTCTGTAGCGGTGACAGGTAATTTGAAATTTTAATCCTGGCCATCACAGACAACAATAACAAAAACACCATTTGTTTTTTTAAAACACAAAAGAAGGGCTTATCCGGTAAAATATTAACGCGAGGGCCTCCACGCCAGCCGGGAGGCGCGGAACCGGTTTCCAGGGCCTCCTCTCCTACTCAGTCTCTGAAGTTTGACTTTGATCTGCAGTGAGCAGCACAAACTGTGTGAAGGCATTTAGAGGCCCTGATTTATTTGCAATCAATATTCTTTTTATCATCGGTAGTAAAACACAGCGAGTCAAATTATCCCATCAGGTTTTTTGGTAAATAACATTTTATCTTTCTAACAACCTCATTAGGCCCCATTATTACCATAAATTGCCCAGACAGATATTCACTCACAATTTTATCTTTTGACTTCCAAGGAAGCCCAGGCCTAGCGTCTTGAGTTTTGGGGTTTAGGCTTCCTTTCCAAGAACCTACAGGAGCCCAGGAGGCCACACACACATCTTGAGGGGGGATTTCTCTACAGTACCCCCTTAATGAAAAACCAAGCCTCTGCCTTCCCCATGGCACTAAACGCAAGCAGGTTCTCAACGCAGAGCTCCCTTCTCCCCTACAAACACAAGAGGAGGGGGGGTCCTAAAGGGCACACATTTGCATTCAAAATTTCTGTAAAAACTTAGAATCCTCCTCGTACAATCATCCAGCTGCTATTCGCAGAAGAGGGTTCCAGACTCTGAGAAAGTTGTAAAGAGCAGAACATTTCTTTGAGCAATTAGTTCTGGGGTCCACGCCACAGAGAAAAGGTTCCCCTGGCCAGATTTCGTTTTTGCCTAATCTTTACAAAATGTACTCTGCACTTTGCTAACGCTTTTGCTTGTGAGGGTAAAGAAGACGCTGCGGCCCCTTCTCTGCTGGGAATTCTTTTTGAAAGGATACCTTGTAAATCTCTCATCGCTGGCTCGGCGTCGGCCGCCAGAACAAAATGGGAGCTGATCTTTTTCGATAGCATGCGATCTGAAAGGCAGCTGGGGCCGCTTTCAGAGAAACGGGCTTTCCTTCCAAAAGTCCTAGAAAAAGTTACAGGAAAACCCACCGCTTTGCTCGCGGAAGGCTGGCGGGTATTTCTTTTCCTCTCTTCTTCTTCGGGGAGTGGGGAGGCCTGGGAAGAGGGGTGCCCGAAAACTGCGCTACCCCGCCCGCAGCAGCTCGAGAAGGGGCTGCTTCCCCGGCCCCCGCGCCCCGCACGCACGGCACCAGCCGCCCAAGTTTCAGCCCGACCTCGCATCAGACCAAGGAAAACGGATCGTGGGGATCAACAGACCGGCCCGTGCCCCGCCGAGCCCCCGCCCCCACATCTGACACCCACTGGGACCGAAGACTCAGAGGACACCATTTATTTTAAGCCCAGGGACACTGTTTCCTTTAATCTTCCATTATGTAACCAGGGAAGAAAAGTGTTTTTCTTATGGTGCAAATGAAATGAAAACTTTGGCAAGTTACGAAAGTCAAAGCAAACACCATTTCAGACGCCAAAAGATATTTCAACTTAACGTTTCCCCTAAATCTCAATTTTGCACACACACAATTCGGAGACCCCCTCGGGCCCGCCCGTCCGATAGCCATTGTTACGTGGATTTTGACAGCAGCTACCAGGCTTTAAACTCGGGTGCGACTGCGTGAGTTCTGCCAGAGAAGAAACCGCGTCTCGGCCGCC